AATTCTCAACCCTTGGATTAGATCTACAATCTCAATATTCATAATCACAAAATTGCCACGAGATTTCTCAATATTTACAAAATTGCCACCGTGCAATTTTAGACCATTAGATCGTTAGCTTATAAAGTTGATCAATGAATATAAATTGGTCTCACGAAAAACCCTTGGTCTCACGTGAACCCAACCCTATATATATATATATATATAACATAAAAAAAAACTACACTTCACAAATACCTTGGTTGCATGCTTAAAAAACCCCTTAAACTTTTATAAGACCCTAGACATTTGCATTTTTTTTTTCTACCAAACCAATATCTTATGTATTGATCTGCTAAATCCATTTCAATACAAAACATTTTAGCATGACTGTCTATTAACACGTTAAATATGAGTTTTTAAGCAGGGCCCCCATATTTTGGGGCCCAATTTAACGTGTGATTGAGTCCCTGATTTATATAGCCCAATACATGAACCCACCTAAATGAAAACCTATCTAATTTATTTCAAAATAAGATAACAACTATTTAATTTCAAAAAAATTCGATCAAAAACAAAAATGACTCTTCGATATTCTTCTCACTTTGTCATTTTAAATATTTTTGTTGTTTTAATTTGTAGATTTTTTAATATGACATGAACTTTTATACTTTATTTTGTTTATTATTCGTTTCAGACGATCTATAGATTTAGTACAGATGTAACAGGGGGCTTTCAAAAAAGATTGAGATGGTTCTGCATCTTAGTTCTTCAGTATGGTTTTTTTAAACATCTGAGGATATTGTTCTTTTAGTTTTAATATATAAACTGGTTTATCATATGTTAATTGTTTTATCTGCTTAAAGCCTCAAACTAATTATCTAGAGATAAAATATATAAAACAATGGTATAATTTGCTATTCGACTTAACCAAAATAGTAAAAAAAAAAAAAAGAACTATAAATATTAAATGAACCATTTAACCCGAAAACCAAATAACCTGAAACCATTTTGGTTTGGATGAGTTATTCGATTTCGAAAAAAACTCAACGCTCCTAAATCTAACTTCAGTCATCCAAGTTTCTAGATTCGCCGTTGCTAACGGGTGTCCTCGAAATAAACCTGTTTTTGCATTTAGACAAAGTCGTCTCACCCGTTTGCCGTGACATTGACATCGATACCGATGGCCTACAACAACAAAAAAATAATACTTAGAAGGTGACAAAAGATGCTACGATAAGAAAGAGAAAAAGCAAAGGAAGATCAAAGATATCCCTTTCTTTCCATTACACCTTTAAGCAAACAAATCAACCCCCCATTTCTCTCTCTCTCTCTCTCTAAAACCCCCCATTTTCTCTCTCTAAAAACCCCAAATTCGGTCATCTTTGGATCAATTTCTGTGGTCGTTTGTTTGGGAATAGAAAAGGGTATTTGCAGAATTTGATGTATCAGAAACAATCCAACACCAACACTTCTCTTTTCAGAGAATCCATTAAAGCCCTTGAAGCTGATATCCGCCATGCCAATACCCTGTAATTTATCTTTCACATTTCTGCTTTTTTTTGGCTATAATCTACTGAACCCACACTTGCTTCTAATGGTTCATGTTTCTGTTTATCATAAGCAAGTTTACTTCTATAATCTGTAATGCTTTTGCTTATTTCATTTTTTTTTGTTGATTATCATCTTCCAACTGTGTGTTTATCATCTTCTGAGGGGCTGTTTGGCTTGTTTTTCATCAAGTCATGTACGGATAAAGTTGTCGGTATAGATTAGGAAGGTTTTTGTTTGGAATAGTTTTTTCATACATGGGAGAATCATGTATTTTAATTGGGATGGGCAGGTCTCGAAAAAAACTTGTTACATAAAGCTCTACTGAATAAGCTACTTTCAATATCATTAAGTCTCTGTCAAACAATAGCTTAACGAGTTTAATGGAATTCACGGCTTATTCAGTCGGCTATAGATGACTTGTTTGGTAATGGCTTAATAACATAGAAAGTGGCTTGTTCATTAATTTCTCTATGGATCTTTATGCAGAAAGCCAAAGTTTTTTTTTTTTTCTCAAACCTGACCTTCGCAATTAAAAAAACATGCCCTTTCCGTCTATGAAAAAGTCCTCCCAAACAAAATCTTCCCGATCTATATAGACAAATAATCCATACAGACAGCTAAATGAAAAACCAATCAAACAGCCCTTAAAACCCCCTATCTTTTTAGGTGATCTTGCATTGTGATATAGCTTATCAATAGGTTAGTTTTTATCAAACTTGATTACTTTATCGGCTAACAGCTAGCTTATTACCCGACAACTAGCTTGCAGCCGAACGGTTAGTTCATCATGTAGTTTGCCAAACATAGCATTAGAAGGTGTCATACAGCATTCAAGCCGAAGTTCTAAATAGCTCAAAGGCATGCCGGTGAGATCAAGCCTCAAGCCTTAGAAGCCAGCCACAACGTTTTAACGTGGCGTCAGACATACACAGGCCTGACTACCTACTAAACCCTAAACCCTAAATGCACCCCTACCTACTAATTTTTTCCTTGTATACATCAACATCAAGATTTACTTTTTACATTTTCAATGTATGATTTGACCTGATTATGACATAAGTAGGGGTGTATATAGCAACACCAATCTTGAATCTTAAGTCTCCGTTCTGTTTAAAAACCTACAATAGGGACTATTCCGTTTACTAGTCTTAGCTTTTCTTTCTGTATCAGTAGTTGTCAGTACTGAACTCTGTATTTCATAGAGCGTCTACCCTACCTCCGGACGATGGAGGGGATTCCGTGCAAATGAAATTATCGTACAGTACTTTTGCTCCGTTCTTGCTCTACTTGATTGACTGGATGGACTATAGCTGTACCGATTCACTTCCAAGTTATCTTGGCCTTCTTCATATACTCGTATACAAGGTCAGGCCTCGATTTTTTGAAAAAGATTCCGACTTTTAACTCCGTTCAACTTGATTACAAAAACCCAGTTAGCAAAATGAAAAAAGATTGAATCTTTGAATTTGCAGGTTTACGTGGATGGTATTCAAACGATGTCGATTCAAGAAAGAAAAGCCACCCTTAGAGAATTCTATGGTCTTTTTTCGTTTACTCTTGTGATCGTGGTATTGGTTTTCTGATTACTTCCAAATTGAATCCGACCTTTTTTCTTTTGGGAAATCTTGATGATTCTTGCAGCTGTTATATACCCTTCGCTTAAACAACTCGAGGGCTATTTGATTGAATTGAGAGAAGATGACGATAACAAGAAAATATCGTGTGAAGAGGTCGATAGAGATGATGAATGTGGGATTTGTATGGAAACTTGCGATAAAATGGCGTTGCCAAACTGTGGCCACTCGATTTGCATAGGGTGCTTCCGCGACTGGTTAGATTTTTGTGCTCATGCATACATTGAAACACACACAGTATGATAAAACCGGCTTTATAAGACGTCAAATATGTATAAATGTTCTAATAGATTGCTTTATAAGACTTAAGTTTATAGCACCAAATAATTGTCGTGTCATATGTATAGGTGTTACAATAAGTTAATAAGACGTTTTTGGACATTCAAACAAGTTTTTTACGATAATTCTGAAACGAGACATTTTATTTGAAAAGTGCCCTAAAAACTTGTTTGGATGCCCAAATACGTTCCAACATCGTATTGGAACACGTTTATATTAGATGCACAATTGTTTGGTACTGTAAACTTAAGTCCTATAAAACAGTCTATTAAGACATTTAGGGGTTGTCTGTTTGCAACTTAATGAGCTTAATTGGACTCACAGCTTATTCGGTCAACTATACATGACTGTTTGGTAATGGCTTAATGATATAGAAAGTGGCTTATTCAATAAGCTTTTAGGAGGGTAGCTTTATGTAGAAAGCCAAGTTTTTTCCAAACCCGGCCCTCCCAATTAAAAGACACGCCTCTTCTATTAAACCCTCCCAAACAGAAAAACCTTCTCGATCTATGCTGACAAATTAATTCACATAGACAGTTTTATTCATACAGGGCTTAATGAAAAATCAACCAAATAGCTCCTTAAATGTCCTAATAGACTCTTTTATAAGACTTAAGTTAATAGGACAAAACAATTGTGAGATGTATAATGTTGCAATAAGTTGATAGGATGCTTTTGGACGTTCAAACACGTTCTTTTACAGTAATTTTGAAATAAAGTTTCTTATTGGTCTTTTTATATGACATTATTTAAAAAAAATTGTAAAACAAGTGTCTTGTAAAAGAACTAATAAGACACTCTATTTCAAAGGTGTCCTAAAAACTTGTTTGGATCCCAAATGCTTCCTAACATCTTATTGTAACACGTTTATATAGGACGTGTAATATGGTACTGTAAATTTAAGTCTTATAAAGCAGTCTATTAGAACATTTAGACACATTTGACGTCTTATAAAGTGGATTTTATTGTAGCGACGTATGTATTATGGATAGTTTGTTAAAGAAAATGTTGATAACAGGAACACGAGGTCTAAGTCATGCCCATTTTGTCGTGGAAGCTTAAAGAAGGTGCAGTCGGGAGACTTATGGGTTCTAACCAGTGAAAGCGATTCGGTGGACTTGATTACGCTAGCGAAAGAGAATCTAAGGTGCTTCTATCTTTACATCGAGAGCTTGCCGTTTGTCGTTCCAGACACTCATTTCTTGCTTTATGAATATCTGATCTAAACGAGTTCCAAAAAGGTAGAGCATGTTCTATGCCGATTGTGGCATAATTGTGCACATACCCTGCTTCCGAATGGGATTTAATGGGTCCGTTTGGTTTATTCTGGTATAGTTGTATGTATATAGTGATCTATATGTAACTTAAGCATCATTCGGCTCGGCCTTTTTTTGGGATCCCGAGTGATGTTATGGAAATGGCGAAAAGTTACGCTTTCTACATGTTATGTTCTACTGATATCTTTAATACAATCGATGTGGGATCTTACAAGACAAAATACAAAAAAGATCACGTCACAAAATGTATTAAAAGTCTTACAAATTAAAAGGTCGAAAATGTCTTGAAACAATAAAAATAACATACGAAATTCACTTAAATTGAATCATTCTTCTAACATTTTTCTATGGTTGGAATCATGTATCCCGAATCAGCTAATAGAATTAAAAACTAAAATTATAATTACAATAAAACATATATAATTTGACTCAAAATTAAAAATATATAATTAAATAAAAGTTAAAATATGTATGCTTAAAGCAAAAGATCATGTGAGAAGTAGAGTTAAAGCGAGAAGCGTAAAAAAGTTCTGGACCCTTGATCATTTTTAATCTTAAACCCATCGATAAATTACGTTTGATATGGGGATTAATCCGATATATCTCATTTATCTTATCGGACACAGATCACGCTTCTCAGTTCTCACAAAATCCTAATTTTTTTAAAAGTCTTGTTCTATATAATAATATTGTGCTAGTTCAATGTGGGCCTTATTTGGATCGTGGGCCGCCCATATATCAATCATATAATGGGCCTAAAATTGGGATAATGGGCCTAAAATTCGTAAAATGTCTACCCCCATCTTAAGCCTCTTTATTCTTGATTTGAACCATACACTATAAATATAAAAAGTTCCATTACAAACTAAGGGTTGGATTTATGTAAGACCAACATGTTTTTATGAGACCTGGGAAACCATTTTTTTACACTTAAAAACTTCATAGCAAAATGTTGTGAAGGTAAAAAAATGCAAACCTTCACAGCAAAAACACTATGAAGGTTATCTTCTTTGCTGTGAAGTTTCAAGTATAAAAAAATGGTCGCACGGGTCTCACGAAATCAGGCTGGTCTCACATGATTCCAAGTATACAAACTAAAATGACTAAATTTTAATTAATTTACTTAAAGCAAAACTATAAATGCTATGAGTTAGTTTAAAACAAAATATACTTCAGGGTTTTGGTTCGTTTGAACACAAAGTTTAGCATATTCTTTTATTAACTAGACGTTAACTTTATGCAACATCTTCAAGATAAAAACATATACATGAAATTCGGTTCAAGATCCGTTGCTACCATTCAAAGAAAACAGACCATAATCCGATACACCTTATAAAACTGAATTGGGATATTAGTTTTTTTTTTTTCAAATTCTTATCATATGCCAACAATACCAACAACTATAACCAAGTTTATTAAGAATGAAACAAAAATAACTGTCTTTTTTCATTTGGTGTATACAAGTAATTTGTCCAGTATTCACATATGAATACACATGCACATGTGCATAGAAACCAAGAAATATTTTCAATTACTTGTATGTACACGTGCATACCGTACAAATAAATGATTATAAAAATGTTCCTTAGTCTTTCATTTTTTGCAGGTTTTTTTCTAGAAACTCAGTGTATGTATATATATATATATATATATATATATATATATATAAAATATGATAGGTAGAGAACAAACACATGAGGACAGAAAGAGAAGCATGTAAAAAGGTTGAGAGATGAAATTCTTAGCTTTTTATAAATTAATTAAAAGGGTATTCCACTTCATTGAAGTTGCATTGTGTTCATCCTTTCAATTTGTTAACAAGTCATCAATTATTCACCCCACCCCTCATTATTTTATTTTATTTTATTTAATTAAAATAAATAAATATATTTTCAAGAAACAAAAAGGACTTTTTGTTAGTGGGCATTTTCCTTTTAAAGCCAATTTAAGTGTCTTTTCAAAGTCCCATTCTCTATGCCCCACTCTATAAAGTTAATCCCCTTAAACCCTTCTCCTATTTGCTTCTATTACACATTTTAAAAAAATTATATCACAACCCCATTTAAAAGTTGTGTATCGACAACAAAAGACAGTGCGACATGTGTTCATGAATGTTCATATTCATAATGAATAATACAATATTCATGATGATAATATACCACTCGTAATCCATGATAAATTCATACATTATTCATGATGAATAATTCGTGAATGTATGAGACATGTGTCAGTGTGTCACGTAATCCATGATAAGTTGATACACCGTTTTGGTGGACTAAAGTCTTACCTGATAAGTAAGTGGTAGTGTTAAACTTTATTGTTAACGCTTACCAAGTAAGTGTTTGGTAAACGGCCCCTTAATTAATTAATTTTTTTTGATATAATTTAAAGATCTTGAGTATAAAAAACTTTAGATATTGTAATAAATATTTTTCTAATTTAAATCTAATTTATTGGATATTTATTTAATGAATAAATATTAGGGCAAATTAACATAATATTAAAAAAAAAATAACTTTTGGAGAAAAGCCATTGCATTAGGGGAGTGGAATTTATGTGGTCTCGCCCTAGACGTGGAATGATTTTCTAAATAATCATATTTTATTTTTGGGTATAAATAAATTATTGTTTTCTATAAACTTATAATTTTTTTTAATTAACCTGAATATCCAACTTGCTACGTGAGTCGACTAAAAGCAGAACGAACATCTGCTTTGCAGATAGTCCGGAGTCACTGCATTTGAACCTCTATGGCCACAAGGGGAATTTTATTCTTCCTTGAATTTGAACTTGGGACCTCCAAACACTTTTGAAACTAAATATTATGTAAAAAAATTGTTTGTATTTAGATTCTTATGATTTGCCAAAATATGATTCTTGCAATATGTCATTTTTGGATATATTAACAAAAGTAATCATTAGTTATGGGTCATTTACTAAACACTCACCTAGTAATCGTTTACCGATAAAATTTAATATTACCACTTACTTATCGGGTAAGACTTTAGTTCACAAAAACGATATCGTATGCAACAATTTATCCAGTAAGCGTTTATTGTGGTAAGAGTCGTCACCTTCACTTACCGAGTATGATTCTTAGTCTTTACCATATTCATCCGATAAGGTAATGTGATTTGATAAGCGCTTACCCGAGTAAACGTTTGGTAAACGGTCCCTTAGTAAACAAAAAACCAGATAATATGTTTTAAAGTTTCTATTTATTTAACCACAAGAGTGGTGCATGATTGGTTTGAGCTTGAGTTTCAAAGGTCAAAAGTACATGGAGGTCCCAGGTTCAAATCCAATGAGTAATAAAAATCCCTTTGTGGCCACGGAGGTTCAAATGTGGTGACTCCGGGCTACCCGCAAAGCAGGTGGTCGCCCTGGGCTTAGTTGGCTCGCATAGCGAGTTTGGATCTATTTTGGGTAACGTACTTTCAAAACTTTCATTTTGGTAACTTAGATGTAAAGTTTTAAACATTTAAGTACTCGGGTAACCGGTTGAATCATTAACCGGTTACCATACTGATGTGGCGAATGATGTGATGAAATTGGGTTAAATGACAAATAATGCCGAATTTGATACTACATCACTCGCTACATCAACTGGTTACCCAAGTACTTAAACGTTTAAAACTTTACATCTTAAGAACCAAAATGGAAGTTTTGAAAGTACGTTAGGAATCAAGTTAAACTACGTTACTTTTTCATGCAATTTGCCCTTTCAAAATTAAAAATTGGTTTCAGTTTTCTTGTAAGAAAAATCCCATCCAAAACCGTATTAAGAGTTTAAGTTATGATTAGCGTCAAATCATGTCAAGAATCTAATTAATGATTTAACTTAGTCAAATCATGTTGGAGATCCTGTAAACGATTTAAAGTCTGTGTGGAATGGACGAGGAAACTTGCTTGACTGATATGTTCAGGTACATATTTCTTTTGGACATTTATAAAATAGAGTATTAAAAGATTTGTTCAATTGGACTGTTTAATTAATAAAAAAACGCATATATATGAGAATTGATTGCCACTGAGATTAGCCACATATATATTTAATGTGATTATTTATATTGGTTGGACTTATTAGAGCTTGAAACCTAGCTTAATTAAAAAGTTAAATTATTCCCTAATTAGTGGATTACTAAAAGTGATTGGATATATAATATAGTTTGTGTAACACAAAGTTTAGCCAAAGGATTTCCTCCATTTAAGTTGGAGGAAAAACATTTAAAAAGTTTTAATTAATTCAAATCAATGTAAATATTGTTTCATTACACAATATATATATATATATATATATATATATATATATAGATAGATAGATAGATAGATAGATAGATAGATAGATAGATAGATAGAGAGAGAGAGACTTGTGATCATGTGAGACCAAATGTTTTTCGTGAGACGCGTAAGACCAATTCTCAACCATTGGATTAGATCTACAATCTGAACATTCATAATCACAAAATTGTCACGAGACTTCTCAATAATCACAAAATTGCCACCATGCAACTTTAGACCATTAGGTCATTAGCTTATAAAGTTGAATTAGCTTATAAAGTTGATCAGTGAACATAAATTGGTCTTACGGGTCTCACGAAAAAACTCTTTGTCTCACGTGAACCCAACCCTATATATATATATATATATATGTGTGTGTGTGTGTGTGTGTGTGTGCGCGCGCGCCGGGGGGGGGGGGAATGTTCAAACGAAAACACTTTTATTTTACGAGAACGCAAGAACAGTCCCTTTACCATGGATAATCACATGCGATACTATATTCCATCATATATGGTACAAATGAGATACTAAATCAGAAATATAGACAACTTTTGGCGCAATCTACGTTGCGGGCCAAGTCGCCCTTACACCATTAAGCTCCATCCCCTGGTAACCAGTTGCCATAAAATAACATATACATAAAAACCAATTTTAGATTAAGATATCCATGTCATTAAATAATATTGAGTTGGATACCACGTCACTCGCTACATCAGCTTGGTAACTGATTAATGCTTCAACCGGTTACCCATGAACTTAAATGTTTAAAACTTTACATCTTAGGTACCAAAATGAAAGTTTTGAAAGTACGTTTATCCAAAATAGAAATCAAACTAAAATACATTACTTTTTCATATAAATTGCCCTAATTCACTTTAACAT